TTTCGGGATAGATAGTCGATTTACTAAAGATAACGAAGTATTCCTATTTATCTTTATTATATCCGCATAGTTATTCTAGTAGTATTACTCCTTAAGATCTTCCTTTTAAGTAATTAAAGGTTAAGTCTCCCTCTTATATATTAGCTCTTAGAATTCCTCGTTAAGTATCTCTTATATAAATTTCTTCGTCTTATTATTAGTATCCTATAGCTTCTTTACTTATTTCTAGTATTTCTAGAAGTTTAAATTCTCTAGTTTTCGATCTATTAAGTTTTATTTCTTCTAAATCTTATCTATATAGACCTTTAGTAATCCAAATAGAAGGAGCTAATAGTACGCGTAATTTATCTTAGTCTTAGTCCGAATTAAGTAAGTTATAGTCTTATAGAATTAATAGAGATATAGTTCTAGACTCTAGGACTTTTCTTACTAGTATTTCGCGAATATCTAAAGGTATTAAATACTTAATATCCGCTACGTTTTATTCTAATCTTTATATTTATCTAAGATCTTCTCTTTAAACTTCTCCTAATCTATTATATTAAACTTAGTAAGCTCTTTATAATACTCCTTCTCTACTCTTAATATAAAGCGAATAGATCTATAGATATATTCTCTACTTACTATTACTTAATTATATTCGTATAGCTCTTTAAACTCCTTAAAGAAAGAAGTTACGTTCTTTCTATTAAAATATAGAAGATTATTACTTCTATCTAAACTCTAGAGTATTTATCTTATTAATATTACGGAAGGAGAGACGTATAGTGACTATACTATAGAATCTAGTATTAATAGATCTTATAAGCTAACGCTTAACATTATTAGTAGTTTTAGCTTTCCTTTACCGTTTAAGCCTCTTACGGATAATATTTCATTATTTTTATATTTTTATATATATTTTTTAGTATTTTTATTAGTTTTATTAGTTATATCTTCGTAACTTCTCTTCTCTCCTTCGTTAAGTCCCTTACTCTTCTTATTCCTTATCTTTATTAGTAATTTCTATCGATACTATAGCTCTACTTCCTAATAATAGCGCTCTAACTTTACCCGCCTTTATAAGCTTAGCCTTCCTATCTATTATTACTATTCCTTAAATAGTTCTACGTTTTATTAGCTTCCTCTAAGTTCCTTAGCTAGGGGTTTTTTAGGATTAAACGCTTTCCCTATCTCTTAAGGGATATATCTCTTCCTTAGTTCTTCTATATAATCTAAATAGTTATAAAGTTATTAGTTTCTACCTTATATAGTGATAGTAAATATATATAGTTAGTAGTTCTAAAGGGTACCCTAAGTAGCGGTCTCCATAAATAGTTAACGTAACCTATCCTATATAGTAAGATAGACTTACTTAGCTAGTAATCCCTAAGGTATACCCTACGTAGCGGTTCTATATATATAGCTAGCGTTCTCTAGATTCAGTTAGGTAGGTAGGTAGGTAGGTAGGTAAGTAATTCTTCAGTTCCGTTAGTCTAGTCGTTTATTGTAGTTATGTTATTATTTCTTCTTCTTCAGTTTTGATCTTCTCCTACCGCTCGTAAAGAGACGCTTATACGTAAGCATTTTTCTTATTAAGCATTAGGTTCTTATTAGAGGCACTAATGAACTAGGGCGAGGCTTCTAGCCTTAGGCGTTAACTTATACGGCGGTAGGTAATAGGCGCGTTTATATCTTATTAAGTAGTTGATTAATTATGTTATTATCTCTCTATCTACCTAGGCGAATAATAAAAGAAAAGACTACTAAGCTAAAGTAGTACCCTTAAACTGACTAATTAGAGAGTAGTAACGTTTACCTATATAATATATAGCTAAAAGTTGACTAATCACCTTACCTACTCGCCTTACATCTCAGGTCCTCTCTAAACCTTTCCCATTACACTAGGTAACCTTATTTAGCGTACGATAGTTGACGTAAAGTCGTAGGCTACTATTAGGTTTCGGTATGAATAGGATAGGCGCTCCTACTAGGGAGTCACTTAGTTAAATCTATTCTCTTACTAAAGCTATCTTAATATACTCACATAGGACTCGTAGCTTATTCGTACTCATAGAGTAGAGGGGTCTATATAGGATTATCTCGCCCTCCTTAATAGGGATAGAGTGTTATATAAAGGTCTCGTCTCTAAATGCCTTAGAGTTAGGCTCTACGAAGGCTCTAACTAGGTTCTATAAGTGCTAGGGAAGTTCTACTTCTTAAACCTCGATCCCCGCTAGCGTTACGTTAGCGATTTATATGCGATCCCTATCTATATCGATAATAAGTTTAACTACTAGTATACGTAATTAAGAGACATCTAGGTCTATAAGGAGTTCTATAGCTAAGACGTAGGTAACTCGCTTATCTTTTATAAGTCTCTCGCCCCTAGGCCTAAACTTCCATATACTAGTACTCTAGTCTACGTTAGGGTTTACCTTTTTAAGCTAAGGGAATCTAAGGATAGCGTTATATTCCGTAATATCTATAGCGATATACATATACGTATACGATCTATGTACTCCTTATATATCTATCTTATACGTTAAGAAGCGGTAGTTACTATAGATCCTAATTAGTTATCCCGAGATAGTCCGGACGTAAACTTTAGTAGTTATTACCTTTACTCCTAGTTCTATAATAAGGAGTTACGAGATAAAGTTCGCTTACGCTCCACTATTAAGTAGTACGCGTATCTCCCTTAGTCTAGCTTTTATCTAGATTTCTACGTTTATTATAAGAGCTTAGTAGTACTTTAGCTCTCTATTAGGGTTAGTACTTAGTAAGCCTAGCGCGATAACGGCACTCTTCGCGCTATACTTTAGTTTTTTAGTATATCCTTTACGCTTACGTCTTACTTATAAGGCTTTAATCTATACTAATTAGCCTTATGCCCCCTTCTACTATAGTTAAAGCATTCGCTAGGGAAGGACAATATATCCCTCTTTAGGGTATCCTTTCTTTCTTCGCTTTATTATCCTCTTTTACGCGACTTATTTATATGTATTATACGAGTCGCATATATATTAGTACTAGTGCGCGTTTACGACTTATCTTAATACGCGGCTCGTACCTTTTACTTAATAACGTCCTTATACTATTAGGCTAAGGCGAGGATCTATTCTCTTAATATAATTTCTTTATTTTTATACATAATAAGCGCGCGAATCTTAGGTAAGAGCGCGTTTAATAGCACCTATACCGTCCGTTCGTCCTCTATTATAGGTAGAATATCTATCTTAATGTTCTCAATATAGCGTAGTAAATCCCTCGCCGACTGATTCAGCCGTTACTTAGTTAACGTTAGTCTAATAAGTGCTTTACTCTTATAAGTCGTAGGATCTACGATAACGCCTTTAAGGAATGTAATATAGTCGTCCTAAGTTTAGAATTCGGTATATAGGCGTACCTATACGTCGTCCGCCCTATCAATTAAGAAGGTTACCGCGAGTAGTATACGTTACGTATACTTATCCTTAATGACTTCTAGGAGTATCTAGAAGAGTTTTTTCTATCTAAGGTCATACCTCTAGAGGCCCTCGGTCGACTTTCTATTAAACCTTAGTAATAGTACGAGCTTAATATATTTTGAAATACTAGAGTCTTCTAAGATTAAAGAGCTTAGAGATCGCTTATGACTCGGTAGCGTTATACCTATAACTTCTATAAATTAAGTAGGTTCTCTTCCTTTAAGCTTATCCTCTATTACTCTAAGTTCTTCCCTTTAGCGCTTATTAGCGACTTTTCTCTTAGCCTCTTTATATTAGGCTATTAGTTCCGCCTCTTCTATCTCGAGAGTATTAAGGCCTATATACGAGTCGCTTACTTCTCGCCGGGGATAATATTAGTCCTCTTCCTAGTCTTCGACGAGATCTTAGTCGTTTTAACCTTATTACTACTATTCTAGGGTCGCGCTTGATTCACCCGCGGATCGTATATAAGGAGCTATTAAGCCCCCTTTTTTATCGCTAGTCCGTCTGATCTTAAGGGATACTATGAGAATATTAAGGATACCTTATTAAAGATAGGTAGTACTTAGAGATAGGTAGATTCCGTAGTAATAAGTATCCTTCTATACCTATAGTAATATAAACTTATAGTATAAGGAGAGGATGCTTCTCGGATGTGAGAAGTATGCTTTTCTTATGCGGACTGTGTGCGGCCTAAAGTGGCTTAGCGCGGTCCGGCTTAGCGCGATCTTAATTGTGCCCGGCTTCCAGGTCCCGTTTGTGATACTTACTACCTAACCGTATAATCTAACTTCTATAGTCTTAGTATATAATGTAGCGCCGAGGATGTTAATTTATCTATTTACTCAAGCTAACGGGAAAGTAACGACTTTACGTAACGCGAAGTTAGGCGAAGATGTGAATATACGTCGTTATTACCGTCATTAGTATAGCCGAAAGGAGAGTGCCCTAGTAGTAGTCGCCGACCGGGCCCTAATCGGCCTTAAACTCCGAAGAGAGTTCTTTCGACTTCGAGTAGAGAAGGTAAAGAACGATCGTAGGGAGAAGATAGTAGATATAATAAAAGAGCCTAAGAACTAATCTCGGCACTAATAGTAACGTTAGACCCTATAGGAGAGTCCTAACGCCGAATAGTCAGCTAAATATAGAGGTGAAAAAGACGGTAGCGACTACTAAGGCCGTTACTATGCTGATAATGAAAGGATCCCGGATCTATCTAGGGGTAGCTTTTGCTAAGATACTGCGTAGGTGCTCTAAATCGTCCGTCTGGTCACTCAGAATTTTTATGACGGCCTGCGGTACGATGCTAGAAACGTTCACCGGTAATTGCTGACATTCGACATGATTACTGAACCCCACGTAGTATTGTTTTATGCCGATGGACAGATTTTAGGGGATCTCCGTACTCCCCCCATTGAGAGCTATCGCGGCGGCACTAGCGATACTATTTACTTAGCTGGTAGCCCCGGAGGCGGCTGTTACCGCATCGCTTGCGACGCTCCCAACCTCGCTCACGGCCGTCGGGATAAGGCCCCTTGCATGGAGTGGTACTTATGTGGGGGTCGTCTTAAACTGCGGAAGAATACATTAGCGATCTACTTCACCCAAAATATTGAACAGTGAAACGCCCTCCACGGATATCTTGGCACGGAGTGTTTATCACTCACCTTGAAGTCCTCCAGCACGAAATCCGGACTTGCAACCCCGATCCTCGAAGGCGCTATTCTTGCTGCATTGAAATATACCACTTCTGGGGCCCCGAGCTCTGTAACGACTTTGCCAAGCGCTAATGCCAGGGCGTTGTGATCTCCAACGTCCACGGGGAATGCCTTGACTTTGACACGGGGATTTGCTGCTTGCACTCTGGCAGCATCTTGACCCAGACGCTCGACATTCCGAGAGAGCAACGCGACATCAAACCCCATGGACGCAAAGAGCGCCCCGGTCGAGGCCCCAATACCGGGCCCGCTTCCCAAGATGACGATGAGTTTGCTGCTGTCCGACATGGCTTCCCCGAATGGGTTGTGCTGTGGTCGATGGCTTGCAAATTTGAGAGCCACAAAGACGACTTTGTGAAAGTCCGGGAGTCCACGGCAAGAGAATGGTAAATAGGTATATAGATGAGCTTAAGGTTTATCCTTTACCCATTAGTCGGAGTGATGTGATTCCTAAACAGATGCATATGGGAAGTGGAAACCTCATTCTCACCCTCGAGGAAGCATAGAGAAAGCAAGGAGGGAGATCCCGTTTTTAGATCTTCTCAAACGTTGCCCAGCCCCATATCTGCGCTTTTCCGGGCGGCCCTATGTTGCAACATCCAATGCTAAACTGGAAACGGCGGAGACTGCATGCTATCTGACCCTGAAGCAACACCAGAAGCGTGGCTGACAAGGTCCTGAGAACAACATTCCGCTCCTGATACCTCGTATAGGAGGTCGATCTCTTTGGCCGCTCGGCGAACTGAATATCAAATGCGCCACTACAACGATCCATCCCCGCTTCCGCCTAGAGCATCTTTTCCAATCCTCAAGGGGCCAATATTTGGTATCTCCGCGGGCGAATGACGCGGTTGAAAGTTGCCTTGAATTCTAACGGTGACAACTTACAGGTAGGTGCTCGGTGTGGAGAAGGATAAGTCAACAACACGGCTGGGGAAACCCAAAGCGGCCACACGCCTAAGTGAGCCCCAGCAACGAGATGACAGTGGATGACAAGCGATATAGAAAACAGTACATTATTGCGTAAGAAGCCGTTGCTGACTAAGGGATGATGTCCATCTCATATGGAAAGAGATAGAGCTTGATGATCCTTTGTGTCGAAGCACCTCCGCGAACAATGGGATTTTGCGTACCAGGACAGGATCAGAGGATGGAGAACTGCGGAAGAACTGCGGAATTTGTCCATCTCACTGAGACTTAAGAAACAAATGGTGTGGCTGATTCCTGACCTTCCAGCTGGATACGAGTTGATTTCTCCCGATCGATCTTTGCAGGTTGTTGAGTGGATTTCTCCCGAGCCGTCCAAGAGGTTAGCTGCACCACACACTTCTCACAACAGATAGCAACATGGTAATCCCACAACGATATCCTCATTGGGTTAATCCATTATTGGTGAATATATACAGGCAGACAATGTGCTTAGATATGAAAGAAAAATCATTGTCCATATGGCCACGCTGTAAGCGAGCAGTTGAAAGGGCAGACTCCCTGTGCGTGCAACCAACAACAATCGCCGCAAATGTTAGTTCGCTTTTCCTCATCCTTCATATCTTTCAATATACATAAATTTAAAGAACCTCTCATATCCCAGATCCTGGCCACATATCCTAATCTATCCAATAATCTGTGGGGTTCATCCAACTATTGACAGTAGGGCTACTATTGATGAAATAGCGATCGAGCTCATCCTAGGATGGGTTACACAGATTAGATTCGATGTCATTACGGATAGGAATATTCAATATACAACATACCCAGTCAATGTTGTCTGGTTCAACGAACATTTGCGAAACCGAAGTTTCCACGCCGTCGGATGAATCCGCTCCATTCGAAGGCTCGAGGGTTGTGCTAGCGTATCCTATCACAAAAGACATGAGATACGAGTCCAAGTCGATGACGAATGAAATGAAATGAGTAGAAATCAGAGCTTAGCTCGGCCATACCTGGATCACGAAGTTGTTGAAAATGGATCTGCCTGAGTGAAGAAGAAGACGACGCCCCATATTTTGTAGTGATACCAAATTCGGGTCGTAGTTTCTCTAGCATTGCAGCTAATGCTTCACTGGCCCTGAGTGCTTCGGCTGATTCTTGGCTGTATTCTTTCCAGACGTAATACGAGGTCTCGAGGGCTTTCAACATCTCCTCGGTACGATCTCGCCCCCATATGGCGAAGTCACTGGATATGCTTGACGCCTGAGTCGAGGTGAGGTGGATGTCGAGGCAAACCAGCATGGCGGCCAGAAGGTAGTCGTTCTTCGTAATGGACATCATCATATTTCGTAGACCAGAGAGTCGTCCGCCTGGTTGGGTCTCTCGATGTCGGATAGCTTGGTATCCCAGGAGGGTCATGGCCCCTTCTATGCATATTTTGCGTGAGGAGATAAGTTGATTGTGGGACCGAGCGAGTACCAGGCCTTTTCGGTGCAGAATGCACAATGCGGTCAGGTGGATTTGGCTCACCGCGTATCGTCGCATGATCATGTAGCCTGGGTCAATCAATGATTCATCCATAGGACGCACTCGATAATATGCAGGTACACTGTCCCATGCAGCTTGTAGCTCCGCATCTAGCGTCCTCATCAGCTCATCGCTGATATGCGTCGTTTGCAGATGTGAGGCAATTCTTCCAAATACATCGACCAGTGGCGACTTCACTAGGTAGAATGAAATGATGGTTGCGTCGTCAATTGGTCTGCTCGGCGGCAGTTCAGTCGCATCTTCGTCAAAGTCCTCCTCTCGGAGATTCTTGGGTAGGCTAGTATTCGTTTGTGCCGTGGGGATCATTGCTGGCAGACCCATCTGAAATGACAGTAGGACGTCACAATGGACTATGCACAACCACAGCCTGCGACGCATTTCCGACTCAAATGGAGACAGAGCCACGTAATAGCTTGGATCCCTGTGTAAGCCATTCATCAGTGCCACGCGGACACACGTTCCAGTCAGAATCCAGAGGTTCGCCTGCGAATCTAAGGAACGCATGTACTCTGCCTCGAGATGGGTGAGAAGGCCTTGTAGTCCATGGATATTCCCGTTGGTGTAGTCTTCCAATGCGAGGCACTGGAGAGCGCAATTTCGAAAAGTGGAGATCTTCTCGTCGGGCACGAGGACATCAGGCGAAGTATTGCTTCCCACCTGCCGGAGCGTCTCGGCAGAGAGCCGAATCATAGCGAACAAAAGTCCCAGCCACACTTTGGAAGCCGTGGATGGTGACTTCCAAAACCGAAAATACTGAATACAACGTTCGTCAGTGTCGGCAGTACTGGAAGTTGGAACACATTGTCAGAACAGAGAAATTCATAGGCGTACATCTCGCTGGAATTGCTTAGGATGGAGAACAGCTGTGGAGCTTGGTCAATACCCATGAAATCATAACCATTCATGGCACAGATATACATACGTCTGAACATGTACGATAGGTTAAAGTAATTTGCAATCAGCTTATCAACCAGCCGACGGTCGGGTAGACAGACGAGCAAAGCAGACACATCTTGTTCGCAGCGAATTCCGCAGAGGAGATCCACAAGTTGCCGGTCGCTCTTGGTCGTTTGAAGCTTTTCCACGTCATGTTGGAAGTCGAGCTCGTGGTCATCAAAGTACTCCTTGACTTCCGAGATCTGCCAGATATCAGCTTACGCAAAGTATCCACTTAGCAAACCCTAAGATCGCTAAGGTACTTACATCCTCGAGAATGTCTTTCCATCTCAGAGGCGTTTTGGCATTAGGTATGTCAGCATATAAGGAGCTGGGAGAAGTTTCGCTCCCGACCATTGACTTTTCATTAAGGACAAGGGAGTTATCTCCTGAGCTTGTTTTGTTGGAGATAGGCGAATCCTCGTTCTTTTGGCACAGCTCTTGAAACAAGTTTTCAAGTCTGGCGATCCGCTCTTTTGCCTTGGCCGGAGTTCGGGGCGCGCGTTTCGCATATCTGGGGTATTCGCAAGTCTCGAGCCCTCTTCTTTTGACACAGTTCTCGCAAGGCCTTGCTCTGTCACACTTGAGTCTGCTCAAAGATTTCGTTAGTGAGCGCTCAGATCCCGCGGATGATGAAAGGCTTACTTTCGCTCCCTGCAAGGTGTACAAGAAAGTTGTGGGCGATTGCGCATGCCCGCCACTGAAGCTTCTGCCAGCAGAGCTTGTGCATCGTTTTTGAAACGAACTTGGTGTGCAATGTCCATGCTGACTGAATTTTACATTCACAAGCCCAACAGGGAACTTGACTTGTGAAGTGCGAATTCGAATGTCTTATGTATAAGACTTGGTGTCTGTGCACGTAATTTTCGCGGAGAGACCTGATTACTGATCACATGCTCATATCGCTGTTACTTCGGCGTTAAGTTCTATGTCAAGGGCTCCTATGAATACAAATTGAACCCCTATGCTTAGCTTGTATTTGCTATGTCTTCATTTGATGGAGGCTGTTTTTAGCATATCATATTACTTGCCGCTAGATGGCCAAAGTGGGACCTGCCCCCTTGGTAAATGTCTGGGATAAACAACCATCAATTCAGTAAAGCATCTGAAAAATAATGGACGGCTGTTAGAAACCCCCGCGGGCACAGGAAAAGAGCTGAAAGCTACACACTGTTTCGCATGCATCGGTATGAGTATTATCAATGCTGAACTAATTGTGATAGTGAGACCAGCTCGTTCATTTCAGAATCCTTCCTATGCCCCCTCGTCCTTCAACTCTCGAGACTTCATTAAATCTCTACTGTTTCAATTGGGACTCTCGCAAGATAAGCTGTACTTGCTTGGACCAGTCTCATAACAGTTTCGATCTCCGCACGATTCCTGGGCGAATAGATGAGAATGTATTCCATTGGTAGGTAGAAGCGATTGATGCCGATGCGAGTTAAGATTGTCCCGCCGGACAGAGCATGTCGCTGGCCCCAGCCGGCTCGGATTACCTCCTTACCTGCATAAATCCTGCCTGTAAGTCTTGAAGCACCAAAAGGAGTATGGCAGAATAAGGCGGGGAGACAAAACATACAATCCTGAGGTGGGAGAGCTATGTGGAGAGAGTGATCCCCCGTCTTGTGAATGTGTGCAACCTCCCGAAGCATTTGTTTGGCAATTGGTTGGTTGCCTGCGATCGTATCGGCCAGGAAGAGTGCATCGTCACGTTTCTCGTGGAGAGAAGGTGCAGTTTTGAGGAGGTGTTTGTTTTTCTGGTAAAAGTCACCGAATGAGTCCTCCAGCGCCTGCGCGAAGTTAGCCTCTATCAATGGAGAAAAACTTTTGGAGAAACGTGCCCGAATGGTCTCTTTGTCCGGAAGTTGATCAAG